ATGGCCCAGTTCTGCTCCCATTGAAGTAACTTGGACTGTTCCCATTGACTTCAGTGGATGCAGGAATGGGCTTCAAAAGCAGAGGGAAAGGAGGCAGTGCAGGGTGGTTTGCTCCCTCTCTCACTCCACCCAAAGACACAATACTTACTGGTTTAAAGACAGTTAAAAATGCCTGAATTCTTCCTAATAACTGTCCATGGTAGCAGTTGCTGCTGTTGCCCCTGGGAGGTTGGTAGAAGAGGCAGTGGTTGAGATGATCTTTCTTTTAAGTTGTCTCGCTGTGAAGCACTCTGAGAACCCCTGGTTTATTTAGCCCAGTTTAATATGGTGCGACTACATTGTTCTAACTGGGCCTTTATGAGGATGATTGACATTGGAGGTGTCAAACTGATAGCTGAGCTGTCAGATATATACTGTGTCCATGCCACCGGATATAGCCTGTTTGGAATCATAGGCTGCAAATAAAACAGAAGAAAGAGTAATTCCTCAGTCCAGCAGTTTTACACTCTTGCATGACTTCATTGAAAGCTTTCACAAGTAAGGAAATGCAGATCACATCTACCATCTTACTTTATTCACTCCATCTGAGGAGCAACTTCCTGGGTTTGGGGCATGTTCCTGGTGTTGCAACTTTTCCAAATAGAGCTGCCTGTTGGGATTGCCAGTGTACCAACAAAGTAACCAGTCAGAAATTTAGTTACAGCAAGGTTCGGTGATGCAAGGGACCATTCTATGTGATCCTATGCGTTGGACTGCGCTAATGTGGCAATACTAGGGCAATATTTAATATAAAGGTGAAAGGGTGGGAGCATTATCCAGGTAGATTAAATGACTCCTTGGTTTTTCAGCTTTGATTATAAATGCATTTTTTTCATCTGTAAATAGAATGAATGACTAGTAGAAGTGTAAAATAAATTTCTAGGAAACATGTAAGCCTAAAATATTTCCCTTGGTATCTTTTAGTTCGCTGGGTGCTTTCCTTACTTGCTTCTCCAACCCAAAAGCACTTCCATTGTGCTTCTGTCAGGAAGGTCCTTATTCTCAATTGATCTGTTAAAAAAGAAGAACCAAGTACAGAGTTGGGTGTTGTCCAATATTGTTCTTTCTTTATGCAAATTAAACCTTCCACACCACTAAATCATCTTTTGACTTTTGAGCCTGCAAAGAAATGGACTGAAGTTTAATATGTTACATTACCACACCGTAAAATACAATTTGTGGATCTTACTTAGATTCCATGTTGTTTTAATAATTGTGATTACTGCAGAGGATTTACAGACACACAGGCTCAGCTAAAAGGAAGAATAAGTACTCTTCAGATTGCATACTTTGTGTTACAGGCTGTATGTATTCTCACATTCTTCCCTCCTGACCTTCATTCTTACCTTATATGGTCTGAGTTGCATTTTATTTTGGTTGGTAGCAGAGCAACTAAGATAGTAATATGCATATGCAATATTTCCACTGTTATCCTCATTCAGGCCCCCATTGAGCAAAGTACTTAAGCATGTGCCTAACTTCAAATTATTTCAGTGGGTCTACTCAAGTGTTTTAAATTAGACACATGCTTAAGTACTTTGTTGAATCAAGGTCTTCTAGGTGCTCTTCCTCCTCCCTGCAAACCTAAAGGATGTTACTACTGGCAACTTATTCCTAGCTGAGTGCAGGTGCTGGCCATTAATAACTGGGGTGAAATCCTGACCTCACTGAAATCAGTGAAGAAACTCCCATTGACTTCATCCCTGGTCTTGTGCTGCTATTTACTTCTGTGCTAGCAAACAATGTATTTTTATTCAGGCTGTGAATTGTCACTTTGCATACCCAAGTCAGCATTGTTACCATATGCACATCATCAGCTGCCATGCAACACTTGGCAGGAAAACATTGTTCGCTTTGGGAAGAGCAGGTAAAATATTGCCTGCCCACAAAATTTGGAATAAGGTTCAGCATATCCTCAGCTTGATGAGATATCTGCATCCCCCTGGAGCCTTGGGAAGGAACTGTATGCCGATATTTTATTCTGGTTAAGCATGCAGTTTCTTTCCTGCAAATAATACACAGAACTTCTCAGAGTATATGAGCATCTTTTAAAAAGTGAGCTCCTTTTGAAAGCTGAATGTTTTGCTCATGAAAGGAGCCAGATTGATAACCCTGGAGAATGGCATCATTTATCTACATTACAGCGCAGGCATGGCCAACCACTTGCAAGCTTCTCCACAGTGTCCCACCCATGACCTGGAAAGACCACCCTCAGGGATTAGATGGGGTTCAAAAATTGCATCCCTTCATTATTTGACCCCACTGAGTCTGCTAATAAGTGCCACTTTCAATGTAGCCTGAGGCCACAATCTCATTTCAGATAGGCCATAACTTTTGATTGCTACCAACCTGTGATGTATTTTTGATCGATTCACATGCAGGCAGAAAGCTCCGTATCTCATTACCAATCCCTTGAATCATCTGTGTCATCCAACAAGCTAAGGGCACTATTTTCAGACTAGGGTGTCTAAAGGTTCGGCACCTAATTTTCAGAAGTGCTGAGCTCCAACAGCTCTCATTGACTTCTTTTGTAGTTGAAGTTATTCATTGCCACTGAAAATCTGGCCATTTAAATCAGTGTTGAAATACGAACATAAGAACATACAGAATCAGTTGCCTACCTTTAGCACCTGGGTTTGAAAATTTTGAACCAAGCTTTTACAAGGCTGCAACTTACAGTGACTCCTCACTTAAAGTCATCCCAGTTAACGTTGTTTCATTGTTATGTTGCTGATCAATTAGGGAACATGCTCGTTTAAAGTTGTGCAGTGCTCCCTTCTAACGTCGTTTGGCAGCCACCTGGTTTGTCCACTGCTTGCAGGAAGAGCAGCCCATTGTAGCTAGCTGGTGGGGGCTCGGAACCAGGGTGGACCAGCAGCCCCCCTATCAGCTCCCCACTCCCCTAAGATCCCTGTGTGGCAGCTGCCCAGCAGGCTATCAGTTGCTGGCAGTTCAGCTGTCCCTCCCCCCACAGCCATGTGCTGCTCCTGCCCTCTGCCTTGGGGCTGCTCCCCAGAGCCTCCTGCTTGCTGTGCAGGGTTGGGGAGAGAAAGGGGCTAATGTCAGGGTATCCCCCTTCCCCCTGCTCCTACACCCCGTTTACCCCATCTCCATGGGGGGGTGGGAGGGTGAAAGGACAGGGTTCAGGATGGAGGGAGCTTCCTGAGAGCAGCTACTGTCTCAACTTGCTGATCTACTTAACAAGGCAATGTACTTAGGGTGGGGTCAGCGTACTTAAAGGGGCAATGGGCATCTCTCTCTCTCTCACACAGGGTGTGCTGTCTCCCCTCCCTCCATTCGTGCTGCCTTGTAGAGTGTGAGGCTACATTAACAACGTGTTAACCCTTGAGGGCTCAGCCAAAAGCTAGTTCATCATTTAGCAGTAAGGCATTCCCTGGGAAATATCCCACCCTCTGACTTCACCACCTCAACCAAGCTTCACAATCATCATTGCTGTGTACAGTATTAAATTGTTTGTTTTAAACTTACACTGTGTGTGTGTATGTGCGTGTGTATGTATGTATATATGTGTGTGTGTATATATATATATATATATATATATATATATAGTCTTTTGTCTGGTGAAAAAAATTTCCCTGGAACCTAACCCTTCCCCCCCCCCCATTTACATTAATTCTTATGGGAAAATTGGATTCGCTTAACATCGTTTCGCTTAAAGTCACATTTTTCAGGAACAGAACTACAACATTAAGCAAGGAGTTACTGTACAGATGCCCCCCGACTTAGGCAATCGTTCCATTCTGGAAAGCCTTGCGTAACTCGAATTTTGCATAAGTTGGAAACGTATACCTGTATATTGCGCAAAAATTTCTGCAACTCGAAAATCCTGTTTCTGGCTTATGGAACTTTTTCCATAAGGGCGAATTTGCGTAAATCGGGTCTTGCGTAACCCGGGGAGCGTCTGTATTATAATATGGAATGAATACAGAAATGAGTCCAGCAGCCTCCACAGCTGATTAGCACAGGTAACATGACGAGGTGATAGAACAAAGAAATTGAGGCTGCTTTTCCCTGGTGGCAGTTATGAGAATTACTGTATTTGTTTTTAATATTAGAAGCTCCCATTTCAAATACATGGCTCAATGAAATCTGAATGTCCTGTTGTGAAGCCTTTTTTGAGGTTTTTTAGGAATATTTGGAGTTGGATTTAGTTCATAATAAATCTTGTTCAGTGTTTATATTAACAAACAAATTGTTAGTGTCAATAAAGTGCATTAGTGTGCTTGTTCCATTTTTTCTTTGCGAGAAAAGCATTAGTACAATTGCTACTTGATGAGAAAAGTAAACAGCAGAACAACTGCATTTTCAGTTAGCGACTTCATCTAAGATCTCTGTCTTTATGGCGAGTGCATGTTTGTGTATATTAATAATAAATATGACATTTAATATATAATATGTCTCTAATACAGAGAATATAGACCTTTATAGAGAATCAGAAAACTCATTGAGAGTAATTAGTCAAGTTCGGAGTTCCCCTTTAAATAAGAGAACTGCCCCCTCAGTTAAATGTATCCTATTACTCTGACATTGTCAAACCTCCCACCAGATAACCATGACTTCTTATTTTGCCTTCCTTCCATCTGTTTGGAAATGGCCTTACATAGCTACTAATAGTGCTCTTTAGATCCAGCACATATTTAGCTTCAACTCAGAAAACATTTAAGTACATACTTAAGTCTGTCCCTTTTCAGGACAGCACTTTAAGGATATGCTTAAAGTTTGCCAGGAATGCTTTCCTGAATAGAGACCTTTCTGTGTGCTTACTGCTAAGAGTAGTCTCGATTCAATGGAGCTACTCACAGTAGTAAGTACTAACCATAATAGTATGCATTTGCAGGATCCAGACCTTCTAATTTAACGTTTTTAAGGGAGAAAGTGTAATTATTACAAGTATAAAGGTTATTGAATTATTTAAACTAATGGTAGTTTTTGTTTTGTAGCTGAACTCTTCATGGAACAACGGCATCTCAAAGAAGCAGGCTTTTGTATCCAGGAGGCAGCTAGTCTTTTCCCCACATCTCACACTGTGCTGTACATGCGTGGGAGACTTGCAGAGATGAAAGGCAGTTTGGAGGAGGCTAAGCAATTGTATGATGAGGCACTTACAGTGAATCCAGCTGGAGTGGAAATTATGCACAGCCTGGTGAGTTTTCAGGGGCTCGGCTTCATTATGGTGTTTATGCTCCTGATTAACTGTAATAAGAGGGAAAGGGTCTGACAGCAGCAGTGGATGCCATTGTTTCTCTAATGCAGAGGGTGAGTTACTTGATTCCAAGAATTATTTGGATAGCTTGAACCTCCTAATTCAGGATTGGGTTGAAAGTCTTTAACTCATCAGAATTTGTGTCAGACAAATATTTTAATTGCTGCAACATTGATAGTTTTGGAAGTTTATTTACTGCTTTATTATCGTCTTAGATGTGCTTCCTACGAAAAGCCGTCCATTTTTATTAAGCAGTGCACTTACATTTGAAAATATGGTTTGAAGTGAATGTTTGCAAATACATGCAAAATGTTTATAAATCTGAACCAAAACTGAACCTACCCAAAACTGAACCAAACTATGGTTTTAGGGTAAAATTCCCCACTTACAGCCTTTAATAGGATTTGAGCTGTGCATAGGCCCTGTGTTAGACTTCTGCACAGGATTGAATGTCACCCTTTGATTTTTTTTGGAGAACTGCAAAGTGGGGATATTTTTGTTCTTCTTCATCATCACAGAAACAAAAATCTATATATACTCAGCCTGTAGCTTTCAGCCCATGGTTCATAGAGAACTTCCAGGTGGAATTACTCTGTACTCCACGTGGCTGATTTGTGTCTTTTTTTGTTGGCTATTTTGTATTTCTTTCGCATAAATTCAACCATGATCAAATTTGTGGGGGACTCCAAAATGGAAGTATCAAACACACAAGAGGATAAAAACAAACAGAAAAGGCAGTTGGAGAGATTAGAGCAATGGGAGCTGCAGGCAACAAGAGAGGGATTTGGTAATACTGTAATGAATAATCAGTGTAAAGCCCTGGATGCACAACTAGGAAACAAACAGATAAGATACAGCTAATTGGGAGAAGATAACAAAGCAACTACCCTATCACCCTGAGTTTATATCCTTAATGCTGTTGTGATATCACTGTTTCAGATAACCATGATCTTAGGTTGCTACAATGAAGTTATGGGTTCTAGATTCAGGAGTAGGGAGGGGGAGGTTCTTCACAATAGAATCTCTCTTGATTAATGGTCCATAACATGAAATACATAGTCCATAGTGTACTAGATCGGTCAAGCACCTGAAAGGAGACTATAGTAAAGGACAGTTTTTCTTCTGTTTAGTGTCATGAATGCAGAAAAATCAGAAATGTAGGAGCACCCATCAGTTTATAGCTACCAATAGCTTTCATTATTGTATTGTATTTTAGGCAGGGCTGGTAGCACCACCTAGAATTAAGGTTCCCTAGTACTTCCTATTATAAGACCTTATTTTCAGTTCCTTATCATTAGGGATTCTGATTTTCAGTTTTAACTGATAAATACAGATAAATAATCCTTAAGGACATAAGAACGGCCATACTGGGTCAGACCAAAGGTCTATCAAGCCCAATATCCTGTCTTCCAACAGTGGCCAATGCCAGGTGCCCCAGAGGGAATGAACAGAACAGGTAATCATCAAGTGATCCATCCCCTGTCACCCATTCCCAGCTTCTGGCAAACAGAGGCTAGGGACACCATCCCTGCCCATCCTGGCTAATAGCCATTTGTGGACCTATCCTCCATGAACTTATCTAGTTCTTTTTTGAACCCTGTTATAGTCTTGGCCTTCACAACATTCTCTGGCAAGGCGTTCCACAGGTTGACTGTGCGTTGTGTGAAAAAATACTTCCTTTTGTTTGTTTTAAACCATGCTCCTTATTCATTTCATTTGGTGACCACTAGTTCTTGTATTATGAGAAGGAGTAAATAACACTTCCTTATTTATTTTCTCCACACGAGTCATGATTTTATAAACCTCTATCATATCCCCCCTTAGTCATCTCTTTTCCAGGCTGAAAAGTCCCAGTCATATTAATCGCTCCTCATGCGGAAGCCGTTCCATACCCCTAATAATTTTTGTTGCCCTTTTCCAATGCCAATATATCTTTATTGAGATGGGGCAACCACATCTGCATGCAGTATTCAAGATGTGGGCGTACCATGGATTTATATAGAGGCAAAATGATATTTTCGGTCTTATTATTTGTCCCTTTCTTAATGATTCCCAACATTCTGTTTGCTTTTTTGACTGCCGCTGCACATTAAATGGATGTTTTTAGAAAACTATCCACAATGACTCCAAGATCTCTTTCTTGAATGGTAACAGCTAATTTAGACCCCCTCATTTTATATGTATAGTTGGGATTATGTTTTCCAATGTGCATTACTTTGCATTTATCAACATTATATTTCATCTGCCATTTTGTTGCCCAGTCACCCAGTTTTGTGAGATCCTTTTGTAGCTCTTCGCAGTCTGCTTGGGACTTAACTATCTTGAGTAGTTTTGTATCATCTGCAGATTTTGCCACCTCACTGTTTACCCCCTTTTCCAGATCATTTATGAATATGTTGAATAGGATTTGTCCCAGTACAGATCCCTGAGGGACACTACTATTTACCTCTCTCCATTCTGAAAACTGACCATTTATTCCTACCGTTTGTTTCCTATCTTCTAATCACTTACCGATCCATGAGAGGCCCTTCCCTCTTATCCCATGACCACTTACTTTGGTTAAGAGCCTTTGGTGAGGGACTTTGTCAAAGGCTTTCTGAAAATCTAAGTACACTATATCCAGTGGATCCCCCTTGTCCACATGCTTGTTGACCCCCTCAAAGAATTCTAGTAGATTGGTAAGGCATAATTTCCCTTTACAAAAAACATGTTGACTCTTCCCCAACAAATTATATTCATCTATGTGTCTGACAGTTTTGTTCTTTACTATGGTTTCAACCGGTTTGTCTGGTACTGAAGTCAGGCTTACCGGCCTATAATTGTCTGGATCACCTCTGGAGCCCTTTTAAAAAATTGGTGTCACATTAGCTATCCTCCAGTCATTTGGTACAGAAGCTGATTTAAATGATAGGTTACAAACTACAGTTAGTAGTTCTGCAATTTCACATTTAAGTTCGTGCAGAACTCCTGGGTGAATACCATCTGGTCCTAGTGACTTATTACTGTTTAGTTTATCAGGCGGTCCAAAACCTCCTCTAATGACACCTCAATCTGGAACAGTTCCTCAGATTTGTCACCTAAAAAGAATGGCTCAGGTTTGGGAATCTCCCTCACATCCTCAACCGTAAAGACCGATGCAAAGAATTCATTTAGTTTCTCTGCAATGGCCTTATCATTCTTGAGTGCTCCTTTAGCATCTCGATCGTCCAGTTGTTTACTTCCTACTTCAGATGTTCTTTAAAAAAAAATTGCTATTACTTTTTGTGTCTTTGGCTAGCTTTCTTCAAATTCTTTTTTGGCCTTCCTAATCATTTTTACACTTCATTTGCCAGAGTGTGTGCTCCTTTCTATTTTCTTCACTAGGATTTAACTTCCACTTTTTAAAGGATCCTTTTTGTCTTTCACTGCTTCTTTTACATTGTTGTTTAGCCATGGTGGCACTATTTTGGTTTTCTTACTATATTTTTTTAATTTGGGGTATACATTTAGCCTCTATTATTGTGTCTTTAAAAAGTTTCCATGCGGCTTGCAAGGATTTCACTTTTGGCGCTGTACCTTTTAATTTCTGTTTAACTAACTTCCTCATTTTTGTGTAGTTCCCTTTCTGAAATTAAATGCAACAGTGTTGGGCTGCTGTGATGTTTTCCCCGCCACAGGGATGTTAAATTTAATTATATTATGATCACTATTACCAAGTGGTCCAGCTATATTCACCTCTTGGACCAGATCCTGTGCTCCACTTAGGATTAAATCAAGAATTGCCTTTCCTTGTGTGGTTTCCAGAACTAGCTGCTCCAAGAAACAGTCATTTAAGGTGTCAAGAAACTTCATCTCTGCATCCTGTCCTGAGGTGACATGTACCCAGTCAATATGGGGATAGTTGAAATCCCCCATTATTATTGAGCTTTTATTTTAATAGCCTCTGTAATCTCCCTGAGCATTTCACAGTCACTATCACCAACCTGGTCAGATGATCGGTAATATATCCCTACTGCTATATTCTTCTTATTAGAGCATGGAATTACTCTCCATAAAGATTCTATGGTACAGTTTGGTTCATTTAAGATTTTTACTTCATTTGATTCTACACTTTCTTTCACATATAGTGCCACTCCCCCACCAGCACGACCTATTGTGTCCTTCTGATATATTTTGTACCCTGGAATTACTGTGTCCCATTGATTATCTTCATTCCACCAAGTTTCTGTGATGCCTATTATATCAATATCCTCATTTAATATGAGGCACTCTAGTTCACCCATCTTATTATTTAGACTTTTAGCATTTGTATATAAGCACTTTAAAAACTTTTCACTTTTTAGTCTGTCTACCATTACATGATGTAACTGAATGGGACTTTTTTTTCTATTTGTACTGTTTCTTCATCAGATCCTACCCATATTTTATCATCTTCCATCCTCTCCTCTTTACTAGGACATAGAGAATCTCCATGAAAG